TTTGGATAGAAGACCATTTATGTGGTTGGGATAACTAGTTATTTATTTATTCATTAACTTGTTGAAAAATCTTACAGCATCTCTTTTATTTCATATTTTGTGCTATTAACTGGAGATACAAGATTTAACAAAGCAGAAGAAGATTACAGAAAAAATGTGTTGGGTTTATGTTTTATAATAGTCCATTAATAATAACAGAAGCAAGTAAAAACAATAATTATGGTCTTTGAACAGTACTTAAAACACAAACAATAGGCCATGTGACAGAAAATGGAAGTAAGACAACTTGTTAACAAGCAGATGCCAGTGTTGTGCTCCTGGACTTGCCAGCTGCAGAACCATGAGCAAATTAATCTTTGTTCTGTATAAATTCATCAGTCTCACTTACGCTCAGATGACAGAAAAAAAATGGACTAAGTTAGTCAGGGAGGCCTTGCCTATTGGGGACAGAGGTTATATAGGAAGTGTAAATACTTGTTGAGAGCCACAGCCGAAGGGATCCCAGCAAACTTTCAGACTGCCAGCTGATGATTGGCTCACAGCGCCCCAGCAACATCTAGCTGATTGGCTCCTCTGCGGCGATGCTCATTGGGCTGTTTCCCTGCCCTTTCAGACCAGGGAGCTGCTCACTGGGGGACTTTTTGGCTCCGCCCATGTGACCCAGCCAATCGGCCTCAAGAGCAGGAGGATTGTGGGAGGTGGAGAGGCTTCTGGTTGTGAGAAAGGCTTGTGGGAAGCCGGTGGTGGCAGTTGGGCTCTGAGGGTTTTTCCTGAGGAGCCGTTTTGTTTGGCATGTGTGGTTCTAAAAATAAAGTTTGTTTCTTTTGACAAGTGGCTCCTGAATTGTGTCCAGGCAGACTGCAGCAAATACTTTCTGCTCAAAACAAATTCTGAGCACATAAAAGTGCTCTACAAATAAAGTTCATTATTAAAAACCAAAATGGAGAACTACCCAGGGTAAGGAAGCACAAACCTGCCTGCAGATAGGCCAGATGAGCCAACCATCCTTATTTCAAGTTGAGGTAAAAACAAATAAGATATGATGGAAAGGTCAAAATATTTTGAACATAGCCAATGTAAATTTTTAATGATTTTTTATTAGTACATTATAGTTATAAATAATATCAGGGCTCATTTTGACATAATCAGACAAGCATGGAATATAATTTGCTCCACTTCTGTCCACCATACTTCTTTCCCTCCCCTCTTCTCCCTCCTCCTTCCCCTTCTTCTGCTCTACTCTTCCTTATATTTATTTATAGTTTTCTTTTAAAAATTGTGTGCCTTATAGATATACATAAAGGTGAAGTTCACTGTGGTATATTCATACACATACAAAGCATAATTTTGATCAGGATTGCAAAGATGTTGAAGAATTGTAACTGGGGTTAGGCTTCTTGATTGTGATTTTATCATTGGAATACATTAAACGTATTTAAATCTGATATTTATTTTCTCAAAACGAAGGGGATAATATGCAATTCAAGAAATTTTGCTAATATAGCATAATGTGTGTAAACTGCATACAAAGTGCTTCATAATCAGAAATGTTTAAAGCTTTTGTTAAATGAAAGTATCGACCATTTCTGATTTTGCTTTTTAAGATAAATTTAGTAATCAATAAAAAATAAGCCAATTATTACATTTTTAAATTTCTCATTGGTGCATTATAATGATACATAATAGTGGGATTCATTATGCCATAAAACATGATTTGACATATAACATTACGCACACAATTGGATCAATCAGATTCCTCAGTACCTTCCCTTTTCTTCCCATCCTCCTCCCCTCATTCACCTGCTCCACTTTATTGATTTCCCTTCTTTTATTATTATTATTCCATTATAATATACATAAAGGAGAATTCATTTGGTATATCCATATATTGCATAGGATAATTTGATAGATATCCTTCTCCAGTATTTCCACATTCCCTTCCCTCCTACCTCCCCCTCAGTCCTCTTCCTTTATTATTCTCCCTTTTATTTTCTTGCAATCACCCCATCATTTTTTTTCTTTCTTTCTTTTTTTTGTATGAGATTTAATCAAGGGGTACTTGAGCACTGAGCCACATCCCCATCCCTTCCTTTCTTAATTTTTATTTATATATTCATTTATTTAGGGTCTCACTAAGTTGCTGAGACTGACCTTGAACTTCCAATCTTCCTATCTCAGTATCCCCAGCTGCTGGGATTACAGGTGTTCGCCATCATGGCTGGCAAGTACCACCATGCCTAGTGAGTCTTGTATTTTTTTTTTCATTAGAATTTTTAAATTTTAATTTGTTATATATGACAGCAGAATACATTACCATTCATATTGCACACATGGAGTACAATTCTTCATATCTCTGGTGTACACAAAGTACAGTTACATTCATTTCTTCCTACATGCACTTAGGGTAATGATGTCCATCTCATTCCACAGTCTTTCCTATCCCCATGCCCTCTTCTTTCCCCTCCTTCCCCTTTGCCCTATCTAGAGTTCATATAATCCACCTCGCCCTACAACCACTTTATGAATTAGCATCCTTAAATTGGAGAAAACATTTGACATTTGGGTTTTTGAGGATTGGCTAACTTCACTTAGCATTATATTCTCCAACTCCATCCATTTACCCACAAATGCCATGAATTTATTCTCTTTTAATGCTGAATAATATTCAGTTGTGTATATGTACCACATTTTCTTTGCATCTTGTATTTTTAAACCATTCAGAAACTCAATGTTATTTGATTGGAGAATTAAATCAATTAACTTTTTAAGGAATTCTTAGAAACTTCACAAATAGATAGAAATTAAATAATATACTCCTGAACAACTAATGGGTCAAAGAAGAAATTTAAAAAGATAGTAAGAAATACCTTGAGACAAATGAATTGGAAGCATGCTACATGTCAAAACATGAGAGGCAGCAAAAGCAGTCTTTAGTGAAAGTTTATAGCAATCAATGCTGTCATCCAAAAAAGAAGAGAGATCCCAAATAAGCTACTACCAAACCTGCATCAGGTGAAGAACCAGTTAGACTTGAAGTCATCAAAAGGAAGAGAATAACAAAAATCACAGCAGAAATAAATAAAACAAAGACTAGAAAAAATAGAAAGGATCAACAAAACTAAGAGTTTTTAAAAAAGATAAACAAAAGGCAAAATTTTAGGGAAAATTAAGACTCAAATAAATAAAATCAGAAGTGAAAGGTGATGTTACAAGTGATATCACAGGAAGCAGAGAGATCTTGGGTGCAAGGGACAATTTAAAATATATTTCCCAAAGGCACTCACCCCATGACCTACTTCCTCCCCCCATGCCCTCCCTGCCTACAGTTACCACACATTTATCCATTCAAATTAACTAACGCATGATATAGATTAACCCATAGATTAGGTTACCCCACTCATTATATAGATATTTCACTTCTGAACATTCATGTATTGTCTCACACATGAGCTGTGTGTGAGACTCATATCCAAATCATAACACCCACTCGAGATACAGGAAAATACTAGTCCTTCCAGGGCCCACTATCTCTTCCCAGTCACAAATATTTCTTTTCTCTCAAAATCAACATGGTTACTATGATTTTTATGATAAAACTTGTGTTTGCCTTTATACTTTGGTACATTAACTTTTAGTACACTGGACGTATACTTAGTTTTGCCCATACTTAAATTTTAAATAAGGCAGTCACATAATGTGTGCTCCTGGCTTTCCACAATTTCTGAATCATCATTGGGCATGGGAGAATCATGATACAGGTACCTATAGTGCATTTATTCTTATTGCTGTGTGTTGCAAGTGGCACTATTAATAATTACTCAGAGGTAGATTGTCTTTCAATGAAAGTTTTTATTAGATCACACCAGTCATCAAATATAAACAATTAATGCAAAAGTGTTGGGTATGCTGGAGCACCCCAACTAGCATTCAATGCACACAAATTAAACACTAAAAGCAAATCACACAATCTTAGGGCAACCACTGTGTGGGCTCTCTCTCGTCCAGTGAGGAGGTCCATGGAACAGGGTAGAGAAGAGTGTGGATGCGGAGTTGCTAATCAAGACCTCCAGAGAACAAGCAGGAAGCAGGTCTGATTTTATTGCGCAGTTACCATGTATATAAACTCAGGCAGTAGCTAAGCAGATTATAGGCAGCCACCAATACAATTTCTGGCCAACTGTCCCAGCAGCGACCAATTCACTAGTGGGCCATTGAGCAAGTGCTGTGACTGTAACATGCAGTCTCGTGCCCAGGGCTGTGCCTACAGGGTAAGCTGTTTGCCACTCACATGCCTAGCACAGGGGACTGGTTTGCCACTCACATGCCCTTAATGTATGCCATGTATGCAGTACTGCAGTATTCCAGGCGCTTGTCCCCACAAACCACAAGCCAAAATACTTCCAATGCCACACAACTTCTCTTAGCCAAAGAGCCAATGTTGTCCTTGTCTGGTGATTCTCTCCAACTGATGGCTGGACATCAGAGACTGATGTCAGTCCAGGGAATGACAGCAAGGTGGCCAGTCTTACCAATGTCCTTGGAGTAAAACTCTTCAATGCGGCAGGACCAGCAATTGAAATACAATTCCAGGTTGGTGGTGCACGTTGGTGATTGGTTACACCCAGTGAAAGTCAATGTCCATTGATTATGTCCAGTGAGGTGATGTAATTGCAACTGGCATGTTCTTTGCTCATGTCCATGGAGCTGTGCTCCCTATCAGTTGTACCTAGTCATTGCTAAGCATGCCTATGGCTAGTGCCCCTTACAGCTCTTTATCAGTCGTAAGCAGACATGACTAAGAAGTTCAATGGCTGCTGTTCCTTATGGCCAGCAACTTAGTGAGTCCCAGTATGTCCCAGAATGTCTATGGCAGATGCTCCCTACACTGTGTTACTTCATTATATGAATATACCATAGTTTTAAAAGTCTATCTTAACTTTGATAGACATTAGCATCATTACCAGTTTTATGATATTATGAACAATGTTATCTATACTTACAATGTGTCTTTCAATGCACAGGTGCATAAATTTCTCTTGTATTTGTGCCTAGGAATGGATTCTCTGGGTAATAATTTATATGTGTAGTCAGCATTAGTAGACAACCTTGAATAGCTTTCCTATATACCTATGCAATCCCACCAGCTGTGTGTGAGAGAAGCCATTCCTCTATGTCAATGGCAAACACCGGGTATTGAGAGCCTTCACTTCAGTCATGTAGGAGGAGCACTGTAATGGTAATTTATCATGTATCTCCATCATATTTCCTGGATGACAAAGGAAGTGATCCCCCTCCCTTTCTATTGTTTCCTAGTCATCCTGTTCTGAGGTCCTTGTTCGAGATTCACTTGGCTGGCGATATTCCTGATGTGTAGGAATTCCTTATACATTCTGTATCAGTTCCAGTTGTCTGGGATGCAAGGGATTCACTGGGAACACTGTAGAGGGAAGGAGGGACGAACCATCAGGAAAAATGCAGGTCTGTCTTCTGTGCAAGAGAGAAGGAGGAGAGGGAGGAAAGCTGTGGATTACAATGTGGTGGTAGAAGTTTTGTCCAGACTGATGGAGAATCTTATTTAAAAGTGAGATGGGAGAAGAGGAAAGGGAATTCTGAGGACAGTGAGGAAGGCCATGCATGGTCCCTGAGAAGGGTTGGGAATGTGTGCTGATTAAGGAAACACAGTAGCATGGCTGGGCAGTCCTGATGGCCTTTTGAGGGTGGTGACAAAGTTCTCAGCTGACCAGATCTTCCCTATTTTGTCTTATTCTAGATGCTTTGAGGCCACAGTTTACAAGAAGGCTTAGAATGGGATTCACTGGGTACAACTGTTGAGTAAACCTGGCCAATACTAGAAAGAGGACTGTAAATCTAAATGGTTACACAACTGCTGGAGGAAGGCTCCTTCATGTATCCACGTATATACAAAGCATGTCTGTCCCTCTGGCTCAGCAATCCCATTACACATGCAGGTGGAACCTGGTGGATTAATTCCTGAATGTGTACTTGCTGGGCTCAGAAGGTTATGTAAACTGTAATGGATTTTTGGAGAGAATCTTGTCAATCATTATGATCATAAACAATATAACTAAAATTAACTCAGCAATGCCATATTATTTGGTTTTGCAAGCATGTTATTTATTTATTTTTTCCTGCTTTGTTTGGACTGGATACCACTCCTTTTAGAATAAAGACTCCAAGCTGCTAGGAAACAGGTCTGTCTTTCTCACCATGGTATGCCTGGCATTTACCAAAGTGCTACCTTATATTAGGTAAAGCCTGAACAACTACTGACAGATGGACCTGGCAGAAGTGTGATTCCAATTCAGGTGTTCTGACTCTAGTTCCCTTGATCTTTAGCACACTACACACTAGTGTTGGGGACAACAGGACAGTGATTCTTATCTCTCAGCTTTGCGAGGGAGTTGGATGTAGGAGGACCTAGTCTGTGCCTAGAACAAGATATTCAACAAAAGCTGTCGATTTTGTTATGGTAGGTCAGAGATTTCTCTAAAATTGCTGACCCTCCATTATCAGTTCCTGAAATATCCTAACTCCTTTTCTTCCTGGCACTTTATGGACTTTTTCTCTAGACACTAGAAGTCCACTGCACATTTTCAAGAAGTAGAATACAAGTTACTTCCCTGAGAGACACTTTATATTCACAGGGACTAATTAATGATGCAGCCACATTGTTCCAACCTGTGGACAGGCAGAAGCTGCTTCCAGCACTCTATCCCTCAGAGAAGCAGAGAGTGTTCAGTGCTAATGACCCCTCATTTTCATTTCTACCTTATAAATGACACTCTTCACCGGGAGGAGAAAGATTTTCTCTGAGACTGTGCTGATGAATACTTTTCTCAGAAAGAAGAGCCAGAAAGCCAGCTGTCACTTCCCTGAGGCTTTTGCACCTGAGCATTGGCAGGGGTGCTTTTTGCACTTGCACAAGGCACAGATTGGAGTGAAGAGAGACCTGGGTTCTAACTGTGTTTCTGCCCCAATCACCCATGCAACTTCAGAACAGCTTGATTTCATCTTGCAGAGTTTCAAATCCACCACTAAACGGAGGCAACTGGGAAAGATGATTTTAAATGTCATGTGTTCTTCAGCAAATCAAAGGGAAATGGATGGTGGGACAAATTCCTAGCTGCTTGTAAATGAATGTCCCTCTTTAGGTTTTCACCTAGTTCTCTTGTAGATTAGATACGTTTCTTCAGTGAATAGCAACTGCCTAGTCTGTGCTTTGCCTCAGTATAAAAAAAAGAAGTTAAATCTCAACTGATATTTTATAACATGAAATAGTGAAACTTAGAATCATATACTTTAAGCTAGCCTCGAAGACCTTTCAGGAACATCATGGTATGATATTGGGAATTAAGGATATTCTGGAGACTTGTTGGTACCCTCAGATCCTATCAATGTAAGTTTTTTATAAGTTATTTTTCAAATTTAATAAACAAATATTTCAATCTGAGTTAAAAAATGTAGTGGAATAATTTTGCTAACATTATCATCATGTTCTACAAATAATTTTGTTTCTCATGGATCACCCAAACAGGAGATTTTCTTTACTGGTTTTTAACAAATGCTTTATTTCATTCTCCTAAAAATTTGAATTCCAGAAACATATCAGTTTATCATTCTTATTTATTGGCATTATCAACTCATTATTTGGATGTACTAATATATAATTCATCATTATATTTTTCTCTGCATCCTTTTGTTCTGTATGAGGATGAGTGTTAGGATATATTTCATACTCATGATGAAATACGCCCACATCAAGACCTACTTAGTCTGGAACGCACACACTTGGATCCTGGCTCCTTAAGCCATATGAAGATTTGTTGCCTAAGGTGGCGATGATGGTGACAATCAGAGATGCCATTTATTGAAAGTTTATCATATCCAGGTTTCTACAAACACATGACATGCACTATTTTCATATCTTCTCTGTAACCTTGGGTTGTAGTAGAGCTCTTTTATTTATAAATTTAAGTAGTTTTTAAAAAATTGACACTTAATGATTGTACAAACTCTTACCTTTATTTTACAGATAAGAACATCCAGGCTTTGTGAGGTCGTTCATAGTCATGTGGCCAAAAGTGGCAGAGGAAGGATTTAAACCTAGGCGTATCTGAGTGACAGTGTAGTTTGCTAAGCCCACAGACCCTGTGGCAAGACTGCCCGGTAGAACCTCAGCTCTGCCACTTGTTTGCTATTTGTGCTTTTCACAAAGTGACAGAGAGGGGAGGGCAGTGGAAAAAGTTGAGATCCCCACCTGAAAGTTGTGAACTGTACAACTGTGTCTCTTTCTCACTCTGCAAAATGAGATTCAAAGAGGAATTGACCTCCCGGGGCTGAAGGGAGGATGAAGCAGTTTTATATGGTGCTTGGTGAGGTGCTGGTGGGTCTTTGCTCTATGGCGCTCTCTGTGCTTCTGACCTGACAGTTCTGCTCAGGAAAGGTCCTCATCAGACTGGACCCTCCCAGAAACTGAATTTGCCTTCTTGCAATAAAGCATTTGCAGAAGAAAGGGAGCAGCTTCCTGGTCAGCAGAGGAATTTTCCTCAGCATTTCATATCTGGGTGTCTCTTTCCTCTGCTGACACTGGCTCTCCTTAACGCTTGTCACACTGAACATTAGATCTTCAGCAAGTTGAAAGATTCGGCGACTTGAAGAAGGCCTGTATTTCTAAGATGTGGGGAGGTCAGTAGTGATCTTTCAAACAAAAGCTAAGATAGGTATGTCCTTAACATCATTAGGAGAATGGAGAGTAAGTAGGTATCTTCTGCCAGATGAGCTTATTATCCATAGCTGGTTAAGACAGGGCCTTTCTTCTCTCTGTCCTTGTAGCCTCCTTTATGTAGTCACGTGACAGATAATCATGTAATAAGATGTTCATCAATTTATGTTTTTATTTATATTTTACTTTGAGTCCTTCATGTAGACTGAAAAGGGGTCAGTAGCCTTTACCTGGGTGGTTCTAATGTGCCAGGGTAAGAAACACCCAGAAGTGTGCAAATGTGTAAAGCAAGTGGAGGGGGAGTAAATCAGGCTGCTTCCTAGATATGGTCCACTGCATGGGGACATAAAGGGAGGAAATAGTAAGGAAAGAAGGGAGCAGGGGCAAGTCTCCCTGTGCAACCAAGTCATTTTCACCCCATTCTGTTTCATTTTGATTTACATCAGTTTGTGTTACCACTGGAAACCCTGATTCGCAGTTCAGCAAGCCTTTCTGTGAAGTCTGAGAAGAAAATTTTAATTCAGAGGCTACAGACCACAAAGGCAGGGATTTCGGGAGATCCAAAATATTCATGGTTTTCTCCAGTGCCATCTTATTTATGCTGAAAATGGTCAAGATGCATTCCAGTTTTAATCTCGTAAAATCGATTCTTGTTGAACGTCCAATCCCAGCTGTAATAACAGTTACAGGCTAAAATAATTGAGTTAATATTTTCAGCTAATAACTAGAATATCCAGTGCCCAGTGATGTAAAAGCTACAGACATGATCACATTTTGTAATTAACAGCATCAATTGGTATGAGATCTTTGGAACACAGGAGGGTTAAGAGGGACAAAGGGAAAATGGTTTTGCCAAAAGAAAGCTTGTCACAGTCCCACCCCTGGAATTAATTCTCTTACTTATGCTTTTTGACATTATAGGTAATACTGTGCTTGCATTCTCAGTGACCTTGGACTCCATGGGAACATCTCACAATATTACGGAATTCTTCATGCTGGGTCTCTCGGAGAAGCCAGAGGTGCAGAGAATTCTCTTCATGGTTTTCCTGATGATTTATGTGGCCACAGTTGGTGGCAATGTGCTCATTGTGGTCACTATTGCCTCCAGCTCCATTCTGGCTTCCCCTATGTATTTTTTCCTGGCCAACCTGTCCTTTGTGGACACCTGTTATTCTTCTTCTCTGGCCCCTAAACTCATCGCTGACTCCTTGTATGAGGGCACAACCATGTCTTACGAAGGCTGCATGCTTCAACTCTTTGGAGCCCACTTTTTGGGAGGTGTTGAGATCATTCTGCTCACGGTGATGGCCTATGACCGCTATGTGGCCATCTGCAAGCCTCTGTACTATACAACCATCATGACCAGGCATCTCTGTGCCATGCTAGTAGGGGTGGCTTGGCTGGGGGGCTTCCTGCATTCCTCAATTCAACTCCTCCTGGTCCTTTGGTTGCCCTTCTGTGGGCCCAACGTGATCAATCACTTTGTGTGTGACTTGTACCCTTTGCTGGAGCTCGCCTGCACCAACACACATGTCATTGGTCTGCTGGTGGTGGCCAACAGTGGTGTGATCTGCCTGTTGAACTTCCTCATGCTGGCTGCCTCCTACATGGTGATCCTGCACACCTTGAGGTCCCACAGTGCAGAGGGGAGACGCAAAGCCCTCTCCACCTGTGGGGCCCACTTCATGGTTGTGGCCTTGTTCTTTGTGCCCTGTATATTTATTTACATGCGCCCATCATCCACTTTGCCAATAGACAAGCACATGGCAGTGTTCTATGGGATTCTGACACCTATGCTGAATCCACTCATTTACACCCTGAGGAATGAAGAGGTAAAAACTGCCCTAAGAAAGCTCTTTACACTGTAAGAGCTTTCTTTACATTGCAGGAGGGATGGTAAACGGTAAATTGGGAATACAAGTGACTTAATTTCTGCAAATGAAACAACTGACACTTTTAGTACTGTAAATCATCTTATTCCATCATTTTTCTTCATGCACTTTCATGATTTATTTGGCCTTTTCACTTGCATTGCATAATTTCATTATAAAACAGCTGTATGGAATCCACAGGTCCTGAATTATTATTCATATTTTATAAATGAGGCAATGGGTGTTGTGTGATGTGGTTAATTGATTAATCAAAGGTTATCTGGTTCTGAAGCTCAGTTATTTTGATCAATCATCTTTAAGTAGCAATCCCCATTAATAACTTTGAATCTGTGTGATAATTAACTGAGCCTTAGAGAAGGCAAGACATAACCTCATACTTTCAAGCTTATCCATGCCTGCAGCTTCTGTCCCTCCTGTCACCCTGTGTGATGTCATCAATATAGCTGCTGCAGGACAGTAGACAGCTTGAGAGCTGCAGGCAGATCAACCAGAGTCTGAATCTAATTTCCTATGTTTACTTGTGGCATGGCCTTGAGGAAGTGTCATATTTCCTTTTTTAAATATTTTTTAGTTGTCAGTGGATCTTTATTTTTTATTCATTTATATGTGGTGCTGAGAATCAAACCCAGTGCCTCACACATGCTAAGCAAGCATTCCATCACTGAGCCACAATCCCCGCCCTCAGAAATATCATATTTCTACAAGTCTTTGATGCTGTATGGGCTCTCTATCATCCAGTGAGGAGCTTCACAGAACAGAGTAGAGGAGAGTGTAGCTGCAGAGTCACTAATCAAGACCTTCAGACACCAAGATGGAAGCAGGTCTGATTTTATTGATAGTTACCAATCTATGGATACTTGGGCAGTAGCTAAGCAGGTTACAGGCAGCCACCAATACAACTTCTTGCCAACTGTCCTTGCGGCAACCAATCATGAAATGGGCTGTGGAGCAAGCACTGTGACTGCAACATGTAATCTTATGCCCAGGGCTGTACCTACGGGGTGAGTGGTTTGCTGCTCAAACACCTAGCAGGAGGGGACGCCCTTAACATATGCCACTTATGCAGTACTCCATGCACCTGTCCCCACGTGATGCCTATCTTTAAAGTAAAAGTCATGACATTTCAAATTCACATGTTCCGTTTGTCTTCATGTGTCTGGCTTATTTCACTTAGCATGACCTCCCCCAGGTCTACCCACATGTAGCAATGCCAGGGCGTTCATTCATTTTTTAAGGCATTAACTGTATACCTCAATAAAGCTTGGGGCAAATAGTGAAAGTAGTATATGTTCCAAAGTGTTATTGTAAAAACTTCATGATCTATACAGTTTTAAATGTAGTCTCTGGCACAGAGTAACCTCCCAGGATGTTTATTTGATATTATCATGTCTACCTCAAGCTTTTCCTAAACCCTCCATAAAGTGCCTGCTCTCCTGTCTCTGCTAGGTTTGAAATACACATGCTTATGGAAGAATATTTTTGTGTGAGTGATGCAAAGAGGCATTTCCTTTTGTTTTTCGTAATTCTTCCTTTTTCAGATACCCAAGGTTTCTTGTGTTCTGGAATCTGGAACACATGCCCATGTTTATTTCATCTTTTTCTTAGTTTTATAAGTTCTGCATATATTCCTTTCAAACTTTACCTTTTTTAAACTTGTGCATATTAATTATACACAATTGTAGTTTTCATTGTGGTATATAATATTTACACACAAAAATATAATCTCATCAACCTCATTCCCCAACATTGCTCCCAGGTTCCTCTCCTCCCTCCCCAACCCCGTATTCATCTCCCTCTAATTTCATGGAGACCCTTTCTTACATAATATTTTTCCTTCTAGCTTCCACAAAGAGGAAAAAACTTCTCTTTCTGAATCTGACTTATTTTTCTCAAAATTATATTTTGCTCTAGTTCCACCTATTTTTTTGCAAATGCCATTATACAGTGGCATTTTTATTCAGCCAAAGGCTTCCATATTTCTATTTCTTGTTTGACAAATAATCTGTAACTTACCAGGTTGCAACGTATCCTCTGCTTTTATAGGATTCAGGATTTGAACCCAGAGACGTGAACATGCTAGATAAGTGTTCCACCACTGATCTACACTGTCAGCCCCATGCCACTTTTGTACAAAGAAAAAATCTAACAAGATGAAAATTAATATGAAAGGAAATATTTTTATTGTTAGATGTAATATTTAAAATTAGTTCCTAAGAGCCAACAAATTTGGAAGCTTAAAAAGCTTGGACTGGGGATGTGGCTCAAGTGGTAACGCACTCGCCTGGCATGCATGGGGTGCTGGGTTCGATTCTCAGCACCACATAAAATAAAATAAAGATGTTGTGTCCACCAAAAACTGAAAAATAAATATTAAAAAATATTATCTCCTCTCTCTCTCTCTCTCTCTCTCTCTCTTTCTCCTCTTTAAAAAAAGAAAGAAATAGCTCTTGCTTGACCCTTAAGTTTCTGTGTCTGTTAAAAAAAACAGAACTTTTAGGCAAAGAAAATATTGTCATCTTTTGTTTAATCACCTTTTCATAGGCTAATTAATAATAGCCTACCAAAATAAGTAAATTAATAATAATTGAATATCTTGCCCATTCATATAGAAATATACATGAGTGGGAGTTTGACTCAGTCATGTAAACAAATGTGGAGTTCTTTGAGGGACTTAAAATAAAATCAGGTTCTTGTTTTACAGAACTATGAAAATAAATTTTAGATTAAAAAATTCCAAACTCAAAAATTCCTTTTTAAAAATTCATCAGAAGACAATATTTGAGAATATATTCATGACCTAGGACAGAAAAATACTTTCTGAATGAGATAAAAAAAATGGATCAACAAATGATGTAATTTATTAAACTGCTATTAAATGATAAGAAGACACCATAGACAGTTAAAAGAGCAGTCACTACTTGGGAGGGTATATTTGTGATCTATATAACTACCAAAAAAGCAGAATGCAAAAATCACAACTAAAAGTAAGAAGAAAAGTTAAACAATCAATAGATTAACAGGCAAATGCATGAATAAGAAATTTATACTTGCTATGAACATTTTAAAAGATGCCCAACTTCAGTGGTAATCAGGAAAATGCCAACTTATTGTAACTAGGAAATACCATTGTTTCATATTAGCTTGGCAAAGACTAAAACACTTGACATTATCAATGTAGCTGAAGATGAGAAGTGGCAGGCTTTCTCACACTGCTGGTGACATTCACCACAGAAAGCTACTCCATGGAAATTATTCAAGATAAAAAACAAATATTTGGTTCACTTACAGGTGTTTATTTAGAAAAACTCTGATGAATGTGCACATGGAAACATACAAGGTTATTCATAATGGAATCTTCATAATAAAACAGAATACTTTAAAAAAATATGGCAGATCTGATGGGTAATAGTACACCAGTGAAAAAGAAAGAAGCTGAATCTCTACCAATGAAGATTTGTCTGAAAAGCTTAAAACTGAGTGAATAAGTGAGGTTAAAAATGGTGCATCTAGTATGTCAGCATCAAACACAATATTATCTTGTTTCTATGTGTGAATGTGTGTGTGTGTGTGTGTGCAGTTATGTTTATGAAGACAAGTGCCATTTTTAAAGAAAGGACTGAAAAAATACTATGAAATTCTTAATCATAGTTTTTTTAGTCATGAGAAATAGGAAAGGAGCCTATTTTATTTTATATCTTAGTTTTAAATTTAATTTTAAAAAGATAATAATTGTATATATAGCATCATAATGAAAGTGAAAAATAAACATAAGTACAGATATGTTTTTTATTCTATCATTCAGAATAGCGGTTTAATGGTGATAGAAAATGGTGATTTTTGCCCCCTCCTTCAAAATGAAGAAATTCTGATGATGCCTGGCTCCTGAGTCAATGAATTCCTAAAGTGCCTACATATTTAATAGCATCTCTGCTCACTCTGACTTATTCTCCCAGTTGAGGCTGGTCCTTCTAATGCTCCCATCACTTCCTCTAAACCCATCAGCTCCAGGACACTTTTATTGTCAATTGTTGCTCTGTTGTTATAACTGACTTCATCTACAGACTTGGTTAAGACTCTGCTAGCCTGAAAGATGGAAACGACACTCTGGAGTGTAAATTAGTTCTTTGTTCAGCTTACAAGGCACCTTAAGCAAGAACCACCTTTCAGATGCTCCATTTCCTTGTCCAAATACGGGTATGTCATTCCTTAGGTTATGCCCCAGTAAAAGGAGAGTGCACATGGAAACAGTAGTAGCTGCCTAGTGACAGAAGTGTGATAAATGCTAGTTCCCTCCCTGAGATGGAGAAAAGGGAAAACAGAAGAATCAATACTAAAAATTACCTAAACCTCCAGATTTTAAGTGCTGTAAAAAGAATAGTAGTGAGTACAAAGGGAGAATACCTGTATTTGAATTTTTTATTTTATGATTCATTCTTATGTGGCCACTGGCAAAGAACTTAAAAATAGGATTTTTTTTGTTCACCTCTCTGAACACCTGTTCATCATGTGAAGTTTCTTTCTTCATGGAAAATATTAGGATGAGTACATATTTTATGGTTTACATATGAGATGTCCCACAAAAGCTCTTGTGTGTAATCATTCAATAATCTTCAGAGCTGAAATGATTAGATTAAGAAGCATAAGCTAGGGGCTGAGGTTGTGGCTCAGTGGTAGAGTGCTTGCCTAGCATGTGCGAGGCGCTAGGTTCGATCCTCAGCACCACATAAAAATAAATATAATAAAAATATATAATATAATAAAATAAATATAATAAAATAATACAATAAAAGATAAAAATAAATAAAATAAAGATTTTTTTTTAAAAGAAGCATAAGCTAATATGTGGATTGACCCACTGATGTGGACTAAATGGGTGGTAACTGTAGGCAGGTACGGTGTGGCTGGAGGAAGTAGGTCACTTGGGGGTATGCCTTTGAGGTTTATAGTTTGGCCACCGTGATTGGATTTCTTCCTCTAT